AACTGTGGTGTTGAAGAAGACTCTTGAGAGTTCCTTGGACTGCAAGGAGATCCAACCAGTCCATCCTAAAGGAAATCAGTCTTGAATATTCACTGGAAGGACTGATGCTGAAGCTGAAACTCCAATACTTTGGCCACCTGATGTGAAGAGCTGACTCACTGGAAAAGACCCTGATGCTGGGAAAGATTGAAGGCGGGAAGAGTAGGGGACAACAGAGGATGAGATGGTTGGATGGCATCACTGACTCACTGGGCATGAGTTTGAGCAAGCTCTGGGAGTTGGTGATGGACAGGGAGGTCTGTTGTGCTGCAGTCCATGGGGTTGCAAAGAGTCAGACACTACTGAGCAACTGAACTGACTGACTGACTGACACTCATGTGCCTGGCCCTGCTAAACTTGCTTCCTTAGCTCCACCAGCCATATAATACCTTCCTTCAGCAGTTGGGGCTGGGGTCAACGGGGAAAGATAGTTTAGTAGATATTGTTGCTTATCTATCCATTTCCCCCCTTCACCCAACTCAATGGACCCACATTTTTGTCTTAGTTTACATCATTCTCACCTGTGGACTTTGAGGGGCGATGTTCTCAAGCTTCATTCTTGATTAGCTTAACCCGATTAGCCCATTCCATTCCCAAGCTAAGGTCACTGGTTCAGGGTGGATGTATAACTTACAGGATCCAATTAAAATGAATTTCAGGACTCCTGCTTGGAATCCTGTGACCTGTGCTTCCTCTCTCTTCTTTTGGATGTAAGAAGTCCTTTTGCCACCTGAGAGAAGTGACCTGAAGATAAAGTCACCAAATGGGAGAAACACATACAGGGGAGTGGCAGAGAAATGGGGCAGGAACTACTGGATTAAAGTGACTCTGAACTTTAGTTACATCAACACATGAATATTCTCACTGCTCAGTCCAGTTAGAGAGGAGTTTCTGCAGCTTGGGAGCTTTAGAGAGGGTTGGAAGTATCTTAAATCTAGCCACCATATGGCCCATCTCTAAGGGCTGTGTCTTCCTTCTGACATGTTAGGAATGGTAATCAATTGTGCATATTAATGAAGAATGTAGTTTAAACAGTACACACTTGCAGTGAACAATATTAGAAAAGAATTAATGTTCAAGTACACAATACTGTATAATGATAAGGGAAAGGATGGTATTTTGGGTTCTAACCATCATTTATCACATTATTTCTATGAGACTATCTGCTCCAACATCCAAATAAGCAACTTACCAATGAACTTTGGGGGGTCCTCTGGGTCTTAGGTTTCTCACGAGAGTGTAATATTAGATGAGGTTTAAGGCATTTCCTAGCTTTCTTGATTCTTTCTTATGGGTTCATTTGAAAGTAAGTAAAACTGAGTCCTTGTAATAGGGCGGCATTCTTGAATAATACGGCATCTGACAGTTCTTCACTGGCCTTCAGCAAGTTCTATCATGTTCATTTTCACAGCAGTTGAGAATTTGCTGTCATTATTTTAACCACTTTTGAAACTCTAGTACAGTGCTCACATCTTGCCTCTAAATATGTATATACAGAATATCTTATTTCCTACAGTAAACCCATTTTTTGATTTGTCAGTTTTATGAAAACCTGAGGACCCAAACAGGCTCACATTTCTAAGCAAAAACAAATAGTAATTTTCTCCTTCTCCACCCATGGGTTAGTCAAAGCAGGGACTTTTTTCTAAGAATAGAGGTATTTGTCAGCTTTAGATGGTTTCAACACAAAAATGTAATAGTTCATAATATTTTGGGTTCAGGGACTTCCCTGGTGGTCCAGTGGATAAGACTCTGTGCTCCCACTGTGGGGGCCTGGGTTCAAGCCCTGGTGGGGGAACTAGATCCCACATGCCTAAACTAAGCCCACATGTTGCTACTATTACTGATTTTGCGTGCTCTAGAGCTCAAGCACCACAAATAGAGAAGCCTGAGCCACAACGAAGAACCAGCACAGCCAAAATAAATAATAAGTAAATAAATTTATAATTTGTAATTTGTAATAAATTTGAAATTTGTAAAAAGCCATGTTTAAACTATTTTTGTTGTTTAAGTCACTAAGTCAACTCCTTTGCGACCTCTTGGACTGTAGCCCACCAGGCTCCTCTGTCCATGGGATTTCCCAGGCAAGAATACTGGAGTGCATTGCCATTTCCTTTTCCAGTTTAAATTATAAGTTCTCTTTTTTAAAAAAGCAAACAAACAAAAAACCCCCAAAACTTTGAGCTGAATAGTTAAGTTATAGATTGAAAAACAAGTGGTCAAGTGAGCTCAAAGGGTGACTTGAAATGAAAGATCCATGCTTGGAATCATGGGTGATAACCTACCTGAATTAAATATTACTAGGAGACCTTCCTCCAAAACGTTTCCCCCAAGGATGCCAACAAGTCTGAAATTTCACCAATCACACCTTATAGAAACTGTACTATACAAAGTCTCCATGGAAACAAGAGTATGTCTCCTCTGATGGGCTGGTTATTATAAGCCCATGAACTCCCAGTAGCTTAACTTAGATCAGCCTGGTGTCTACCTGTTTAGGGTGGGAAAGGGAAGAAAGGAAGGATTGAGTGTGGGGTAACTGATGGGAGTTCTTGTTGATTTCACAGCACTGGGTATGGAAACAAGAGACTGGAGATAATCCGACCTATTTCATAGCATTGCTTTGGGCTTTCCCTACATATCTTGATTTAAAGAAGTCAATACATCTCATCTTCTTTCTTGAAGTTCAGAGGATATGGACAGGAATATTTCTTCCCTTTCCATCAATCTTGTTCTCTGCCCTGTTGTTGCTTATTACATAGGACCAGGACCTCCCCAAGGGTTATTAGTTGCTCAGTCTTGTCTAACTCTTTGTCACCCCATGCACTACAGCCCGCCAGGCTCCACTGTTCATGAGATTCTCCAGATGAGATTACCGGAGTGGGTAGCCATTCTTTCTCCAGGGGATCTCCCCAGCCCAGGGATTGAACCCTGGTCTCCCGTATTGCAGGCAGATTCTTTACTATCTGAGCCACCTCACCTACAAAGGGGTCGCACCAGGACCCCTGTAAGTGGCCTAGCAGTTGCTCTGTAGGTGGAATTGTATGGATGCAGCTTCTCTCTCTTGAATGAGTTCCGTAGGGTCATGCCCGGAGCTAACATCACTTCAGTGAGCCCCTGGTTTGGTACATGGACGGAGGGAGCGAGAAACAATTCTTCCTTCGCTTCTTCCTCGTGATAAGCCCATAGTCCCTGCATCAGTGTGAGAGATGAAGCAGGTAGGAGAAGATGTGGTGGCTTCTCTTGTTGGGGAGCACAGGCTCTGGGGTGCTCAGGCTTCAGCTGTGGCACACAGGCAGTGATGTTTGCCCTTGACGGTGCGTTACAGGAGAACTACAGCTGATGCTACGGGCCTGCAACCGTGCTGTGAATCGATTTGGGGTGCTTCTAACTGGGTGGGACATTTTATGGTGAAAGTTCTTTTAGAAAAGGATTCTGTAGGGAGGAACTTCATCGACAGTGTTCTAGTAAGGTGCTCCATCTTTCATGGTGTTTGTTGTGTGAGGACTTTGAAACTTCATTTTCTTAGTGTCTGGCCCTGTTTCCCATGTATCTGGGGGCTTCCAGGGAGGGAGGACCGTGGTGTGAATGGTGGCCGGTTTTCTCCAGGTAGGTCACCAGCTCTCACACTAGGCATATCCCTACCATTGAAGAGACATCTACACTGCCCTGAACCACAGGACAGAAAATGTAGGTGAAAAGAATGTGACACTGAATTCCAATGAATCCTTCAGAAGGGACCCTTGTTTCTCTGGTACTGTTTAACCTTTTTTTTTTTTAATGTGAACTTATCCTACTTTATTTTTGGCAGGTGCCAGTTATAAATCTGTTCCTTCATTATAACTACTGGCAAAAGGCAGTTATTCTCAAGACTGACATTTGTTTGTTAACATTAGGATGATGAAAACAAAGGAGGAGCATGTGCCTAGTACTCAGAACAGAATTGACGCCTCACTTCGTGTTCATGGTGTTGGCGATGCTGGTGTTGCTTAATACATTCTTGCTGACTGTTCACCACTGATTACCCTTTTAAAGTGCTCTTTCTAATTGGCTAAATAAATTATTGGCCAAAAAAGAATTCTGAACACAGACAATATAATATTCTTAAGTGGTTGAATTAAGAGGGAAAAATGTGGAAAGTATTTAGAAGTTGGAAGTAGTAGAATGTAGTGAAATATAAAGTCCATAAAAACTGAGATGGAGTTTGGAAAGTAAAGGAATATGTCTGCTGCAGTAACAGCCTCACAGTGGCTTCTATAAGGACCAACAATATGATGCTTGGGATTAGAGAATTTGCACAGGCTATAGTTAGGATTTGTTTGTATTAAGATTATTGGATCAGAAAGTGTCTTATAAAGATATCATTTGATAATCAGCATTATTCAATATAGAATCCTCCCCCAAAGTTGATGTTCATACTTCTGTTGAGAATTCTATATATAAGAGAGAAAGAAAAGAATTTTCAAGGAATTTTATCTCTTCAAATAAAGAGATCATTATCTTAGCATAGAAACATCTGACATCAATAATGTTGGAATTCACTATTTGGACTTAGAGCATGGTAGCTTAAAACTTTCAGGACTTCCCTGGTAGTCCAGTGGTTAAGAATCTGCCTGCCAATACCGGGACACAAGTTCGATCCCCGGTCTAAACTGGTGTGCCATGACTACTGAGCCTGTGCTCTGTAATGAGAGAAGCCACCACAATGAGATGCCCCAACACCGCAATTAGAGAGTAGCCCCTGCTCGCCGCAATTAGAGAAAGCCCATGCACAGCAACGAAGACCCAGGGCAGCCAAAAACAAAACAAACACCAATGACAACAAAAAGCTTTCAAAGTCGTCACACTTAACAGTCTGGCTAGACACTGTGTGTATCCATGAACGAGACATGATCCAAGCCCCCGAGGTCTCACGGACCAGAGCAGCACAAGGATGCAGTAAAGATTAGCCACCTATGACCCACCTTATGTCCCAGTGACCACAGGAAGCACTGCCTGACCATCAAGAAGACAGCCATAATTGTGGAAATGTGGTGGGGTGGTTGGAGAAAGAAGACGGCCACTGTGTGATGTCAGCCTTCACTGGTTTTAGGATGGATCCCACGACCATCAGAGTCACACCAGTCATGACTGTGGACATTGCAGAAGCTCACCAGGACAACGTGGAGGATGTAACCCCAAGGCCAAGTCCTAGCCATCATGCAGGGTTTCCTAGAGTGAGAAAAGTTACTGACTCGCCAGGAAGAACTTTTTACACTTGCTCATTGTTAAAATATTTGCACCTTGAGAATTTTACTGCTTCTGCAACCTTCACTCTTGTCTCTGATATAAACACAATATGCTGGGTGAGAACCTATGACTCTGTTCACTGCTCAAGACATTGGCACATTCATCATTGTAAAGACAGCACGTTGGAAGGTTTTACACACAGAAAAGTGAGTTTATGACCTTAAACAATCCCCAGTAGGAAATGTCTGACATACTTATAGACTTTTTCCCATACCTTTTCTTTCTGCCTTTGATCACCTTCCTACCTAACTTTTTTGAGATCTTGGGTTGTCTTCCCTTCTCCCTTCATCTCTCTTCCCCTAGAGAGGGGAACTGAAATGGAAATTTGTGTTTTTCCTTATTTATCAAATGGCTCAAATAGTCTGCCTGTTGAGCCAGACACTCTTCTAAGCATTTGATAAATATTAACTCATTAGGTCTTCATAAGAATTATTTGAGGAGGAGGCTACTGTTCTTCTTTAAGATTTAATTGATTAATTTTATTTATTTTTTGGCTGCGCTGGGTGTTCATCACTGCATGTGGGCCTTTTCTTTAGTTGTGGCGAGTGGGGTCTACTCTCTACTGGTTCGTGGACTTCTTAATCTGGTGCCTTCTCGTGTTGTGGAACACAAGTTGTAGGGTGTTCAGGATTCCGCAGTTGTGGATCCCAAACTCTAGAGCACCAGTACAGTAATTGTAGTGCAAGGGTTTAGTTGCTCCTAGGCATGTGGCAATCTTCCCAGACCAGGGGTTGAACTCTGGTGGATTCTTTACCACTGAGCCACCAGGGAAGCCCAAGTCTACTGTTCTTACCACCCTCTTTGTTGCGATGAGGAAAATCACAAAAAGAGACGCTGGGGAGCTTGTGTAAGGACACACAAAGAGAATGAGCTGCTGAGCTGGGATTTAAACTCAGACCTCCAGCTCTCAACCTCCACATGAGAGTTTCGTCTAGCCATAGTACCCAGGTGTGGATGAATTCTGCTGCCGGCCCACCAGCTCAACAACTGGGGAGGCTCTTTTCTCTTCATCAAGACGTTTTCACTTCTGCCCAAAGCAAGCTGAGCTCTCTACCGAAAGGTGCCTTTGAAATGCACAGGTTGACAGCTTTATTTGTGGATCCACACTGTGGTTTTTGGCTAGAGCTGGCTGGGCATGGGCTATGTGGTTGTCAAGTCTTTTAAAAAGTGGTGTAATATTCCCACTGTTTTTGTTGGATAATTGCATGTCTTTAATTTGTGGGATTATAAACAGAGCAGTAACCTAGTTTCGGAGTAGCCAGAAAAAGTTATTTGATATCCACTAAGTCAAGTTTCTATTTTTAGACACCTCTGTAGAAGCGAATATTCTTACCATCAGGAAAGAAAAGCAACATCATAATATACTCTAATTGGCATCTCCTGACTGGATAGGTTAAAAAAAAAAAAAGCCTTCGAAAGAACATAGGCAATAATTCAGCTTCTTTCTCTAATAGTGACATATTTATAGGCAAAGAATAGATTATTTAGATGACATTTTCCATTGGAAGACCTTTAAGTGGTTTGAAAACTTGAGCCTGATTTGACTGCTCTGTCTTTGAAGATGAATCATTCCTTTCATTTAGCACATTGTTACAGTATTTAGATTAACTAGTAGGTTTGTATTTAGCCTGGCAGAATTCAAACAGCCAGACCAGATACATGCTAATGGTCTTCCTGGGGCTCTAACAGAACTAAACACAGGGAAGAGGACTCTAGTCACTGATTTGTGATTAATGTATGTAGAAAGTAATATTTCTACCATTTTATGGATGGAGCAACTGAGGCACTCCAGTTGCTCTAGTTGAGCAACTCCAGTTGAGGTTAAGTGGCTTGCCCTCGATCATAAGGCTTTTTCATAGACCCAGGAAAACCATGGAGAGACTTCCTTGGTTGTCCAGTGGGTAAGACTCCATGCTCCCAATGCAGGGGGTCCAAGTTTGATCCCTGGTCTGGGAACTAGATCCAGAGAGCCACAACTAAGACTGGCACAGCAAAAATAAATAAATAATACTAAATATATATCAATGATGTTATTATTTATTATCTAACTCAATAATTACATTATACTCATAATTAACAAATATTATAATAATTTGTTAATATTTAATAAATAATTAAGTGATTTTTAAGAAAAGAAAGACAATTATGCAAGCTGACCAGGATTTTACATCTAATTCTTACCAACTGTAAAGTTTGCAAGTTACCACTTCTGTTCCTACCCACAGGCAGGTTACAAACTAGAAGTTAGAAATAAAATGAGAGAAGGCTGACATCACTTTCCAGGGAAAGGAAGCCACCAAGGTTCGCCTTGAGTAACAGAGCCGACACGGGTGCTGTTGTTCCCCTGTTGATCCCGCGTGGCTTCCGTCCATGAGGATTCAATCAGCCAGGGGACCGCGGGCCGGGGTGGGGGGCAGAAGACTGTAAATCTGGGAAGGCTGCAACTCCTCAGGGTCTTGAACTTTATCAGGTTTGAATGTGTGATTGTGAAAGTAAAGAGCAGAGAAATGACAGCACTTAGTAAATCAAAAGGAGAGAAGATCAAGACTGTCAGAGACAAGAGAAAAACAGACTCTGGGCAAAAACCTGGCTGGAAACCTGCACAGAGGGAAGACTTCTATGTTCCCTCCAGACCTTGCCTCCTGAAAAACAAACCCTTTTCCCTGCCATTTTATCTAGGAAACAGTATTCTTTGTTATGTCCCATGGATTTTTTTTTTTTTTAAGTTTTCATTATTGAGGTTTAGGTTTTGTTTTAGAAGATGGGATGCTATAAGAAAAAGAAAAACAGAAAGAAAGGAAATCAGTTGGAAAAAGTCTGGAATGATCTGGATTTTCCTCTACTAATATTGAGGCCCCTAGCTTCTCTCTCATAGATCTTTATTTATTTATTTTATTCCTTAACACAATGTGATTAGTGTGGAGTAAGTCTGCATAAACAGCAATACAAAATTGAAAGGTAAAAAGCACGAGAGTAGTGAATAACCAGGTCAATTTAATTAGTTCTCCCCCCACCCCTTATATCTAATGCCCATCCTCAAGTCTGCCCTCCTTCACGGCCCCAGCTGTTAATTTGCTCCTATTTTCTGCCAGAAAGAAGCTTCTAGGGAGGCAATGTTGCTGAGGATTGATGTTCTTGGAGCAGAGACAAGGCTCAAGATTACTATCTTTGTCCAGTAGTAGTCTGCTGTTGGCATTTGCAAGGGAAACAAGGAACTGTTCCTCTTCAAAGAAAACAAAAACAACTAGATCTACGCTTGTATCACCCACCCTTCCTTTCCTATCAATGTGTGATAAAGTCCCCAACTGCTGTTCATAGAAAAATCCTAAGAACCCTTGTGAATGGTGGGTCTCAAAGTTGAATGAGTGCTCGAAGTTCTTTTCTGGGAACTAATTTAGCTCCAGGGGGATAGGTGGGTCGCCCCCCAAACTGAAATCTGATGTAGTAGGTGTGAGTTTGTTACAATACAGATGTTGGTAATAGTTCATGATTACACAGGGCTTCCGATGTGCTGGGTCCCCTCAGCCCCTCACACACAAGACCATTTTTAACCCTCTCAACCATCCTGTAAGGGAAGTGCTTTTCTCAACCCCACTTTAAAGATGAGGAAACTGAGGCAGAGAGGTCAGGCAAATTGTCTTGGTCACTCAGCTAGGAAGGGGTGGGGTCACGACTCAAACAGGAAGGCTGGCCCGGAGTCTGAGCTCCCTGGGCTCACACAGGACTCCCTCAGTCTCCCTAGAGCAAATACCACCCTTCCTCCTTTTCATATGTTCATCATGAAGGCTAGAGGAAAATCTGAGGATGGGTACTTTTCTAGAGAAAGAAACAAAGGCTCAGACATCTCCCTCTATCTTGAAAGCTGTCTGTGGTACTTTGCCTAACCGGCTCTACAGAAGTGCCAACCTTCTAGACTGTAAACACTTCAGAACCAGTAGGTGCCTCTCCGAGTTCTTCTTTGTGCAGGGCACACTCAATCCTGTTGGGCAAGGGCAGGAAACTGGAGGACTGCATACGGGCAGACAGCCTTTTGGTCCTAATTCTCCGCATATTTGCAACATAGCTGGAGAGGTCATGTTTCTGGGTAGCAAATGCAGTACTTAAAAAAAAATTTCTTGGGCACTTTTCCCCCCTTTGATTGAATCACGGAGAAGCATAAGTTACTTAGCAAATTTCCAAATGTCTATTATCACCTTTTTCTGCTTCTCCAATGCCCCCTGCCCCACCAGAAAACCAGTCACAAAGGTCTCTAGGCTGAGACAGCCCTGGGGCAGTGGCATGGGATGCTGACTCTAGAAAGGGCATCACTTAAACACCCAGTGATACCTGCAAAGCCCAGAGAAAGCCTGGGTTTCACCTGTCTAGTGGGATGGAAATTTCTGCATCTTTCTCATCTTCTTGAGACATAAATGGTCCCTTTCTGTCTGATGGTCTGATTTTTCACACCTTTGGAGGCTGGGTGAGGGGTCAGGATTAGATGAAGGGAATGATCCTCACCTCAGAATTAAATGAGGTGGAGTTCACCTTATTTCAGTGAAGAGATGAGAAAAAAGAGGCATCTTTAATTCCTTGAGCCCAGCATGAGATGACAAAAAGAAGCTGAAGATGTTCAATGGCCTTTTGAAATTGAGTCTTGTCTTTAACACTGTCAAAGAAGAAAAGATTGAAAAGGCAGAAAATGTGGGAAGAGGCCCCATAGCAGGGAAGCCAAGAGGGTTCCAGCTTCTACCCCCAGTTTCTTGCCTTGCCATATTTCAAAGTGGAGCACGTGTGTTCAGTGGCTGTCAGGTCTGACTCTTGCCAACCGATGGACTGTAGTCCACCAGGCTCCTCTCTCCTCGGGATTTCCCAGGAAATAATACTGGAGTGGATTGCCATTTTATCCTCCAGGGAATCTCCCTCACCCAGGGATCGAACCTCCTGTATTGGCAGACAGGTTCTTTACAGCTGAGCCAGCAGGGAAGCCCATTTCAAAGAGGTTAGAAAAGGCTTCTGTGGACCTGGAGTACCGAGGAGTCTTTATTCACTTAGGGGATGAAGCAGCGACTCAGTGCAAGGAAACTGAAAACACAGCATCTGACTCCCGCACAGCCCAATTTTCAGCCCTTGATCAGGAAACTGGATATTCTTTGCTTCCTCTTTGGTGAAGGGGAAGGCATCACTTGGGGGCGGGGCTCAGCATGGCTGGCAGTCCAAGGCTTTAAGCAATGATTACAGCAGTAATTAATAATAATAAATCCCACACTTCATAACCCAACTCAACTTAGGGATGCCTGAATATTTGGACTGCTGCCTCCCAGGTGCACACTGTCTTTCTGCCGTCCACACCCTCCCCATTAGCTTCCGTGTGATCCAGACGCCGGGTCCCTTCCACCCACTACATTGTGACTGGGGTTCAACAGGTCTGCCTCGGAGGACCAGTGATGCGGAGTAACACTGCCCCTCAGCAAAACCGCAGAAGTGGGCGAGAGGTTAGGTGTGGTTTGGCTTTGTAGTATAAATTCAGGATCAGCAAATAATTCGAATGGGAGCTAATTTGGGGCTTCCCTGGGGGCACAGACGGTAAAGAATCTGCCTGCAATGCGGGAGTTCGGTGCTCGATCTCTGGGTCCGGAAGATCCCCTTAAGGAGGAATTGACAACCCACTCCAGTATTCTTGCCTGGAGAATCCCGTGGACAGAGGAGCCTGGCGGGCCACAGTCCAAAGGGTCACCAAGAGTCGGACATGATTGAAGCGACTTAGCATGCATGAGCTCGCTTTAGGTCTTCAGTCTAGTGCGGGCGGCGGGGGAGGGCACGTTTGGGGAGTCCAGCTCAGGCCTGGAGTCCCCGGCTCTCCCGGGTCCCTAGGGCCCGGCATTCTTTGGCCGGGAAGCGGCCGCAGGTCCCGCCCGGCCCATCCGAGGTCTGGGCCGCCAAGTGGGGACTGTCAGGGTGTCGGGACGCAAGCAGGCCGCGGGGAGGGAGGCCGGCGCCGGTGTGGAATGTCTTTATCGAGATGGAGCCGCAAGCTTCTCCTTCGCTTCTTTAAGCGATCACGGAGAGACACCTTTCGATCTTTTGTCAGACATCTTGGCCCTTAATAGCTAAATTTATTTGGTTTAAAGCGGCCTGGGGAGAAGCAGCGAGGGAGAAAATCTTTCGTCGGTCATTGGGTGGCCTAGATAACAAGCTTTAAAAGAGAGAGGGAAGAAGAAAGTAAAAAGGTTAATGGATGAGGGGAGGGCTGGAAGGCGCCCAGCGTGGGGCTTTTACAACGACCCTCCCCCTGCCGCCCCCTTATCGCGGCCCTAACTTACCCGCGGCGGACGAAGTACATTAAGTCACGTAAACAGCGCGCGGAGAGGAATGCCACCGCGGTGACCTTTCGCGCGCCCACCTCCGCGCCGCGCTTACAAACCCCATCACCATCACTGTCAGCACTCTCTGGGCGATGACCTGCGTCGGAGTGACAGCGGTGGAGTCCAGTCGGGGGTCGAGCCATCCCACCCGGGCGAGTGGGCCCGGGCCCTGGAGGGGGTGGAGGGGGGCGCCGAGGTGACCCCGTGTCCTTCGCCCAGAGCGTCCCCAGGGAGGGAAGAAATATGGTTATAGCGAGAAGGTCCCGTAAATCTGGTTTGAAAAATAAAAACCAAAACCAAAAAAAGAGAAAGAAAAGAAAAAACCTCTCAAATTAAAACCATGCTGTTAAGTCAGAAATTGCACGTATTCGTTTTCTTCCTGAAACGTCGCTGGAGCACCCGAGATTGGTGAAATGACAGAGGATGCGCTGCCGTTTGCGGGGGTGATCGCGCGTCCTCTCCGGGTCTCGCGGCTCCTCCGGAAGCGGCGCACGACGGGCCCCCCCGTCCCCGTCACCCTTCCCCGTTTGGCCGCCAGGCCCCCGCCCCCCGCCCGATTGGCGACTGGGTTCGGCTGGATTCGAGTGGCGAAGAACGGTGTGGCGCGCGCGGCCCAAATAAATCAGCCCTGGGGACAGGCCGCGCCCGGGAGCCAGCCCCCCTCCAGGGATGAGGAGGGCCGCTCGGGGAGGCAGGCTAGCTCTGGAGGGGCCGCTCCCTGGGTCTCAGTGGTCGCGAGAGGAACGATTTCGTTCCAGATTAGCCAATCCCCAAGGAAGAGAGAGGCGTTAGGAAAAGAAAAGGAAAAAAAAAAAAAATAATAAAGAAAGAAAGAAAGAAAGAAAGGAAAGGAAACAACTTTTAAGGACAGGACCGTCTACCTGGAGCACTTGGAGGCCTTCGCCAGCTGTTGCGACGCCCTTCTTCCTCTGCGCCCCCTAATATCCCCCACCTTCCCGGACCAGCTGGGGCTCTCAGAGCAAGCTCGGAGCGCCGGGCCTGAGGCCCCTGGGAGGGTGGCTTTGAAAATGTGCTGTTCCCCAGGGGTGTTGTCCCCAGGGCCAAAGTCGACGCGTTGGGAAAACTGCAAACTGAAAGGGTCAGGCAATCTGGCTTTCTGTCTGAATCAATTCCATGGGTCAAACAGTTTTATTTCTTAGTTAATTGGCAAGAAAAACAAAACCAGTCTTTAAAAAAAAATTTGTGACCTTGCAAGAGAGCAAACAATTACCTCCCTGCCCCCACCTTTGTTCTGAGCAATACTCAAACGCGATCGGAGTTCTGGGGTGGGAGTGGGGGTGGTAAAATGTCAGGTCCTTTCTCGAGCCTTAGAAATCGCACATAGTGAAGTTGGTGTGCGTCCCGCCTCTCACCTCTGTCCCGGCCGTGCGGGGGCCAGGGCACCCTCTCCCGGCTGCTGCGGAGTGGCCGGAAAAGCAGGTCTCTGGGGATCATCTGTTGTCCAAAGAAATTTACACGGTCACCCCCGTAATTGCAAATATAAAGAAATACACACAGCAGGAATCAGTTTCTTGCGGGGGGGGGGGGGGGGCTCGGTCTCTTTGGGGTTCAAAGTTGGAGGCCATTCACAGCCTGTATTCCCAACTTAACCAAAGGATTTATTTGTTAACTTGGTTTCATTAGAAATCACTTCACTGAGTATGTATTTTTTTTTTTTAAACTTTGCTTTTGAGAACAGACCTCAGAAACATTTAAGAACCCCTGGACTCAGAAAATCAAATGCCCACAACCGTTCTGTAACGGCTTACAGATGAGCTTTTGCAAAACAGTCTGTGTAAAAATTAGGTCGGAACTCAGGTTAAAAAAAGAAAAGAAAAAAGAAAGGCATTGGAAGCCCTGGTCGGAGTTAAGTGGACGGTGGACGCCGGGTTATCTGTTTGGATAGATGCATTCGATCGAACCCAGGTTAAAATTTAAAGCCCCTGGATCCTGCTCCAGTCGCTAGTCTCCTTTCCAGAGTTTTCTGCCTTCAGTCTTTCGGAATTGCGGCCGCGCTGAAACTGGGAGCTGCCGCAGTGATCGGGGGAGGCAAAGAGGAATGTAATAAAAGTGACTAAATTGGATGAGAACGGTTTATGGACCTTCTCGGTAGCAATTTGAAATTCAGAAGTGTTTAGCAGCAATTTACAATGAAGAATTGGGGAAAAAAAGAAGAATCGCCGACTTTCTCCATTCGGTTCCCTCCTCCCTCGGGCTGCCAGGCCCTGTCCCCTTGTCCCCTAGGACCCACAGGTTCACAGTTACATCCAGAGGAAACATATATTTAGCCAGGAGGTCTCATGATCTCTAGAAACCCTATTTTACTAAGCCTCTACCTAACTTGGTTCCATTCTGCTGAGGCGCCTCTCCCTTCCCCAGCTGGAAACACACACACACACACATATACACAAACACACACACACACTTCAGGGAGACTGACCTTTAGAAAATCATTTACTTCGATTTACCTGAAAAAAAAAAAATGTAAAAATCCATTCCCACAAAACAACTCCTCTTGCCCTAGTTAAAACTCTCTCTCTCTAGACAGCCTCCCGAGGTCACATCTGTTGGGAAAAATCCTTTTTGCGAGTGAAAGGGAGCGAGACATACATCACGGCTCCTGCCGAGGACGAACCTGCGGCCCCGCGACGCCCTGCTGACAGATCGGCGCTGATAACCCCGCGACGTTCATTTCCAGCCCCTCTGCCGGCCAAGGACCGTATCAGTTTGTACACAATTGCGATAACCATTTGGAGGGAGCGAAGAAGGGGTGTGTATGTGAAGGCGGGGGCGTGGGGAAGAGGTATTTCTCTCTGGGACCGGGGAAGGTGACCCCCTCCTCTTGCCAACGACTAATCTGAGACTTACCTGAAGTTCTCCAGGGAAAGTTCAGAGGAAACGGGACACCCAAACTCGGAGAGCACCTCCGGGCGCGACTGGTGTGGAAACCCCTTTCCACTCTGCGCGCTTCATGGACTAACCTTTCGTGCACCGTGACCCCGAATTGAAAGTTTCAGATTAGCTGGGGAGTGCAGATGGGAACCTCCTGAAACTTCCCAGGAATTTAGCACATTTAGTAGGACAGAGATAGGGAGCTGGACACTCGAGTTCTTTCTTTCCTAGATCCCAGGAGACGAGACCCCCGACGGCCACCACGACCTGAGCCCCAGAGTCTCGAGAAGAGATCGGGAGAGTTTAAGGTCGGTCACACACAACTGTGGAGCAAAAAGGCTCATTTACTGGGTCGAGAGGAGAGGGGAAGGCCGGCGGAGGAAAGCATGGCCCCCTCTTATTCGGGGGAAGCGCTGACCCGGGAGCTGGCGCGTCGCTCCGGCTGCGGTGGCTGCGTGGGGTTGTGTATGGTCAACTCCTCCCGCGCCATCGCCCTCCCCTCCCCCCCCAGCCCGCCCCCTTGAGCGCGCGTGTAACGGAGGGCGGAGGAATGGGTGTGGGTCGCCCGCCAGATCAGGCGTTCTGCCACCTCCGCCCCTCCCCCGGCGTCCCCGGGATCGGCGCCCCCTGGATGGACGGGCCTCCTGCTCCCAGGACGGCGCTCGCGGCTCAGCCCACACCCGCAGGCTGCGCGGGGCTCATTGTCTGCCGGGGCGGCGCGCTCCCCTCCCCCCGCCGCTCGGCGTCCCCTCCCCACCCTCTTTTCTCTCCTCCCCTCGCTCCCTCCTCCTCCTCTTCACCTCCAGCGCCCAGCTGCTCGCAGAGCGCAGTTCCGACCCACAGCCTGGCACCCTTCGGCGAGCGCTGTTTGTTTAGGGCTCGGTGAGTCCAATCAGGAGCGCAGGCTGCAGTTTTCCGGCAGAGCAGTAAGAGGCGCCTCCTCTCTCCTTTTTATTCACCAGCAGCACCGCGCAGACCCCGGACTCGCGCTCGCCCGCCGGCGCCCTCGGCCTCTCTCCGCGCTCGGGAGCACCCTCCACCACGGCTGTTCTCCATGCGCAGCGCCCATCCGAGGTTCGGCTGCTTCCTCTCTTGCCCTAACTCCCCTCTTTCCTCCTCTGCACCTCCCCTCCCTAGTCGCAGGCCCCTCGGCCTCGGCTCTCCGGCCCTCTGCGGGCCGCGATTGGCTCCGGGGGTGTCTACCTTCTCCATTCCCGGCAGGCTCCCAGGTTCCCGGGACACCGCGGACCAACTTCTGGTGTCTTTTCCTCTCCCCGAAGCGCTTATCTGCGCTCAGCCTTATCTCAGAGTTATCTTGGCGCAAAGGGGCGGGAGCCGGCAGTCAGGCAGGCAGAGAATTCTTTCTTGCTATCTAGCCCGGGTCTGTGTGTGGGTATTAATTTTAGTATGGTTATCTCCGATGAGCCGAAGCGATTTGAGGAAGCGGCCCCGAGAAGGCCAGTCCGGCTGCGTTCACCTCCCTCCTCTACCCCCTCCCAGTCTCCCTGTCATTCTTCCTGCTCTCCCCTTTGGGGTGGCCTCGGCTCCGGGGCGGTCTCACGTCCCCCTTTCTCTGCACTCCGCTCCACCCCGCGACGTCCGATTCCAGAACGGTCTGGCCTTTCCGTGGCTGGGGATGACCGCGGGGTGGGTCGGGGTGGCCTGGCCGGCGTGGCCCAGCCGGCGTGAGCGCACGCGCTGGCGGCTGCATAAGCAAGCGGTACCTAAGGTGCGTGGCGCCGGGGACGTGGGGGTGGGCAGGAGATTCCGGCCCCACGGACATCCCGCACAGCCTGTGTGAACCTAAGGTCTGAGACTCCGGTCTCCGCCCTGGCGCCCCACCTTCCCAAGGCTGGGTTGTATTTCACTCCGGGGCTCGCGTTCTGTCTCGTCAGCGCAGTCCAGGAAGCTCTGGGAAAGCCCGAGTAGGAGAACGCGGCGGTTTCGTTTTCAGGGGACAGGTTGCCTTCCCTACGCTAATGATTTTCACGCGGGCAGCCCTCACCCCGAGGCATTTCGGGCGAGCGACCGCGGTACGGAGGAAGGATAAGGCGGCGCAGACACGCATGGCTCCTTAAAAAGTTCCTTTGTGTGTGCCATTGGCCCGGAGGGAGCCACTTTGGGGCGGAAGGAAAAGCTCGGCCAGTCTCCCATGCACCCTTGGGATCTGGCGCGCGCGGATGAAGGATGCTGCGTCGGGGGTGGGAGGGGAGCTAGAGGGGATACAAGCCTTGCGGGTGAGGAGGAGCGGGTATCCTGGCCGTGGGAGGACCCTGCAGCGGTTGCGCAGGCTCCATGCTCCTTCCCCACACCTGGTACCCGGGGCAGAAAATGGGATTTTTGAGGAATCTCATTAGCTGGAGAGAAGAGTGGAGGTGAGATGCGGGGCAGCCCGCGCCTTTGATAAGTCCTTCCTAAAATTTCCTTTCTCGACCCTGTCTCCCTCCCCATCTAGTCTCAGGAGCTAAAAGTCAGTTTGCAGCGGCGCAGGACCGTGGATGGCCTTGACTGACGGCGGCTGGTGCCTGCCGAAGCGCCTTGGGGCCGCGCCTCCTGCGGACGCCAGCGACTCCGGAGCCTTTCCAGCGCGGGAGCCCTCCACGCCGCCTTCCCCCATCTCCTCCTCTTCTTCCTCCTGCTGCTCTCGGGGTGGGGAGCGCGGCCCGGGCGGCGCCAGCAACTGCAGGACGCCGCAGCTCGACACGGAGGCGGCGGCGGGACCCACGGCCCGCTCGCTGCTGCTCAGTCCCTACGCCTCGCATCCCTTCGGGGCTCCCCACGGACCTTCGGCGCCGGGGATCTCGGGCCCCGCGGGCGCCCTGTCGAGCTGGGAGGACCTACTGCTCTTCGCTGACCTCGACCAAGCCGCGACCGCCAGCAAGTTGCTGTGGTCCAGCCGCGGCGCCAAGCTGAGCCCTTTCGCGCCCGAGCAGCCGGAGGAGATGTACCAGACCCTCGCCGCCCTCTCCAGCCAGGGGCCTGCAGCTTACGACGGCTCGCCCGGTGGCTTCGTGCACTCGGCGGCCGCCGCCGCTGCAGCCGCGGCCGCCGCGAGCTCCCCGGTCTACGTCCCCACCACGCGCGTGAGCTCCATGCTGCCGGGCCTGCCGTACCTACAAGGTGCGGGCGGCGGGCCGGCCAATCATGCGGGGGGCGCGGGCGCGCATCCCGGCTGGCCGCAGGCCTCGGCCGACAGCCCTCGAGCACCAGTATGGCTCGCTGTCGGCCGCGCGGCCGCTGAACGGGACGTACCACCACCATCACCACCACCACCCGAGCGCCTACTCGCCCTACGTGGGGGCCCCGCTGACGCCCGCCTGGCCCGCCGGACCCTTCGAGACCCCGGTGCTGCACAGCCTGCAGAGCCGCGCCGGAGCCCCGCTCCCGGTGCCGCGCGGCCCCGGCACAGGTAAGGGGCAGGGTCGCGCCGCGGCGTGCGGGTTGGAGGGCGCGAGGCGGGTGTGGAGCAGCTTTCTGACCTGGACCCTGTTTCCGGGGCTTTCCTGGTGTGGGTGCCCGGGGTCCTGCCCCGTTGGGATGGTGCTTCTGTTTTGCACGAGAGAGACTAGATGCGCCGGTACGCCTCAGGCCAGGGCCTGCAGTGGGCCGTTGGGAACAGTGAGCCCAGGAGGGACTCGACAGGGCCTGAGCCTGGTCGCAGACCCCAGTTTTCCCGGGTTTCCACCCGGGACTCCCATTTGGGAGGGTGACTTTAGGTGAGTGCTGAGCGTGGCAGTCACCCTCTCAGATAGAGTCGTTCCCAAGTCACCTCTTCAAAGGTCGGGAGTTGAGTGTGTTTTTCTCAAGGACAGTGTTTTTATTAAAAGAGCTCCGCGGTGGAAAAAAGGACCTAGTTGGCATCTCCCTGCCACTCTGGGAGGGGAGGCAGAGAGGTCAGCCTCGTGACTGTCCCGAGGGAAAGCTGGTGGAAGGGCCCTTTCGCTTGGCATCAACAGGCAGGGTGTCTGCGGCTGCTGCTCCCGTCTGCGCCCCACCCCCAGGCTGGGACCAGGGGTACGCCAGCACCCACACCTATTCCTCCGCCAGAGTGCACGCCAATAATTTTTCAGTTTCCAATCCCACTCATGCTTTCCATTCCAGTGTCTGGGGGCAGTTTGGAGTGAGCTGGGAAAAGTTGTCAAAATTCCTGCAAATGCGCGGTCTTGAAGAGCGTTTGTCCTGCTCAAGCGGGAGGGTGTGAACTGTTGTCTGGCCCGACAGAGGCGTTTTGGCTTCTTTCCTTAGCCGCAGGGTTCTGGATCCTTCTTCGTGCATTCAGGGGTCTGTCTTTGTATTTCACGCGTTTGATATAACTTGACAGTTTCCTAAGACAAAAAAAAAAAAAAGAAAGACTTTTTTGGCCCATTGCTTCTTTAAGGGGTGTTGTGGGTGTCAGAAGGTGGCAAAGACAAGGAGGCCTTTCAGCCTAAGTTATCCCACCTGGGACTTGCACTCCCCAGGGCTGGGGTCCTCCATTTAGGACTTTTGGGGGTCCTAATTAGTGAGGGTCAAGTGAGGCACAGTCAGCCTTGTGCTCAGGGACAGTCTGGGAATACCAGTGGCCTGAAGGTGAAGGATCTGACTCGAACCTCCGTCTCTCAGTAACACTGGGTGGAAAATCTTTACAGCCTGTGGGTCTGTGTGTAGATTGGGGGCGGGGAGGGGCCCCGTTGAGGTTTGGAGACTGGAGAGGACAGAGCCAGGTCACCCTTGCTGCTGCATGGGGACCCATGTCTGGCTCCTGGGAGCAGAGAGACTGGGAGACAGGATCTTCAAAGGATGGGGAGGAGGTGGTGGTTGGGGTGTGAGGCGCTTGTCAAGTCAGGAATCCAGCAGGGAATCTGAAAGGTGGTGTGAATTGGGTTGGGGGCAGTTCTGCCGGCCTGGCGGACACACCTTAGCCTGACCTCCATTTCCCTTTGCCCCGTTTCAGCATTTCAGGGGACAGAGGAAGAGCAGCAGTCCAAAAGGCATTCTGCCTTGGGATGTTTAAACTGATTGGGGGATGGTTAAACTGATTGGTTCTGTGGAGAAAACCCTTTTAGAGGGGTTGGGTGCAGTTACAGACAAGTTATAAGTTATTTCATTTGAAATGTAGTCTATCCTTTCACTATTTTTTTCGCTTTCTGGGTAGGATGCTGCAAAGTTACAAAAGTCTTGCATAGAGTCAGAATTTTTTTTTTTTTTTTAATGGAGAGGTGTTTGAGAACACCAATCTTTTGCGTAAAGAGTCTTTTAAGAAGGCAGGAAGCTGCTGAGAATAAGCCAATCTGGGAGCTGGGGAGATGAATGACCCTAATTTTGCTTGTCCCCACAGGTATTCCCCTGCTAGAGAGACCTTGACCCCCAGCCCCTCTCCTCCCAGGTTCCTGATTCTCTGCTTCTCCAATCTGATTTAAAAAAAAAAAAAAAATGGAGGCACTCTTTTAACTGATTTGAGTGAATGGCAGGGCTCAGTGCGAAGGCAGGGGTGTGGTTGAGTGCCCTGGGAACCTGGTGTATTCACCTCTCCCTGGTGCTGGTGGGTGTGTGGTGGGGAGGCTGGGGGTGAGCTCTGTCTCCAGAGGCCAGTGCACTTCCAAGCTCCTGCTGAATTGGGTTCCATTCTCAGTCTGGGGATGACTTCACCCTTCTCCCCAGAGTCTGTCACTGCCCGGGGCACCCAAAGCAGACAAGTTAGGATGAATAGGGGGCCTATTGGGGGCCTGTTGGTGAGAGAGCTTCCAGCACAGTTAGATTTTGTGCTTTATAAAAAGTCGCATTTTGCTTACTTCTGTTGTAAAATCGAAGCTACCGAAAGACGAGCAGGAAAAGTATGGAGGGAATGGGAACTGTAGATTTTACTTAATTAAAAATAGGCAAACTTCCTAAATTTTATTTATCCAAGCAGGGCTTTACATTTTGTCTCTAGGTTTTCAGCTGACCAAAGAGATTTACCTGGGGTGCTCACAGTCTTCTATTGGGAGTTTCTTTATTGTTCCCAGCCTGTGAGAAGGAGGCCAGGCATGGGGCTGGGTTCTCCAGGGAATGCCCCACTTCTCCATGGAGAGGGGCTCTGATAGGTAACATTTTAAAGTCAACAACAAAGACAAATACCTTGTTTAACTTCAGTGTCCTTGAAGTCCTGAGCATTTACTGATTACCGTAGTCAATAGTGGCTTTTAGGGCGGAGAAGAATAAATCTTTGTGATGTGTTCTAAGTTGCAGTATCCCCATGACAACTTTGAACTGGGGTTATGGGGGGTGCTAGTTTCCTTTAAATTTACTTCTCGAGGAGGAAGGAAACTTGTTTTGCAGGGAAAATTATTAATTGAATTAAATAATTTTGTGCATCCAAATCAGACTGAAATATCTTTGCAAAAGCTGATGATAGACACAAGCTATAAACCAACCACTGATGAATAGAAAGAAAAAGAATTGAAAGGTTTGCTAACACAGTCTTCAAATAAACTCTAAAGTGTAATGTTTATTTACTTTAAAATTTGATTCAAAATGCCCCTTGAAGAAAGCTAAATTGTAACATTTAAATTTTGTGTAATATAAATAAATCTAAACAGTTATTTTAAAGGAAATATTTTTTAAAGTATTTTAAAAGTACTTGATAAGTACCCATCTCACTTTAGTTGATTGTTCATATTTAGCTGATTTAAGGGGAAATAATAAATGTTAAAATCATTTACTCTGAAGGCTTTTTTTTTAAAAGTTAGCAGGTTTAGGTTAATTATGAACTTTGGAAAACTAACCAAACAGTAAAATGACAAATATTAATTTAAATAGATGACATAAGTTGAAATTTTAGTGTAGGAAAGTAGGAAAAACTTTGATTTAGCACTGCAACAGTGCTGGTAATTTTCTCAATCCATTCAGTATCCACCGTTTGTAGAAATTTTGTAGACTGTAGCAATTAGACCCATTTTAAAATCATAATATTTTAGTGTTTGGTTTTTGTGACATGAAAATCAAACTAACATTCATCTCTGTTCTTACAAATTTCTTACTGTGTTTCCCCCCAGGAGTCATTATTAATTAATTGGCAAAAGTGCTCAAGAACAGTATTTCTAATTTCAGTTGTCTGTTCTTTATGGAGGAAAAGGAAGAGTGGTAGTTATAGAAAATACTTTCAAAAAATTACTTGAGATAAAAGAAGACAGCCTGGTTATGTCCCGGGGTATTTGTGGAGATATTTGGGGTTGGCTGGGGTGAGCGATCACTGTTAATATTGCAAAGCTTGCTCGGGTTTTGGCAAGTGGTATATTGTAATTATGATGGATTTCAGTTTTGAAAAGCTTGGGAACAGCGGGAAAGGAGAGGTCAGGGGGCCCACACCGACTTCCCCACGGCTCATCTCAACTCCGAGGTCCTTGGGGAGACGGAAGACGGATGATCCGGGCCGGGCTTCCAGCTCTGTCACCGGACTTTGCAGGGCTTTTCACGGGGCGCGCCCAGGGGTGCAGAAGTATTGGACAAATAATTGGTCAACAGATCGGTCGCGGTGACATCAACAGCCGGCTCCCGGCCGGGCCGAGGAGCAGAAAGGCCGGGTGGGGAAGGGCGCAGGAGCGGGCCCGGGGGGCTCTGGGTGCGGGTTGGGGGCTTCGCGGGGTCGGGCCGGCAAGCGCCCGCGCGCGGCGGGACCTCATCGGCCTCTCGTCCCGCAGACCTGCTGGAGGACCTGCCCGAGAGCCGCGAGTGCGTGAACTGCGGCTCCATCCAGACGCCGCTCTGGCGACGCGACGGCACCGGCCACTACCTGTGCAACGCCTGCGGTCTCTACAGCAAGATGAACGGCCTCAGCCGGCCCCTCATCAAGCCGCAGAAGCGCGTGGTGAGTGCGGGCGCCGCCCTCCCCCGCGGCCCGGCCGGGAGCCGCGCGCTGCCCGCGGGGCCCGGGTCTCCCCGCCCGACCCGGCCCGCACCTGTGCCCGCGGCCTAGAGCGGACCCGAATTGGGGGTCCTGGGTAGTTTCAGCGCCCACCGGGGCAGATCGTCCCCGAAACTAGCCACAGGGGAACGAAGGCAGCCCTCTGCTCAAATTCACACAGGGAGTGACATCCTTAAGTGAAAAAAAAAAAAAAAAGTGAAAGTTGTACCATCTGTGGATGATTTGGGANCTTCTGCCTTTTAAAAAAAAAGTACCAACCCCCTATCTTTACACATCTCTAGATGTACTTGCAAATGCACTGAAATAGTTTTGGAAGGAGATCCAACGAATGAGTAATGTTAGTAACCACCAGGGAGAAAAACTGAGGCTACAGCCCCAGGTCGGGTTAAGGCTTCTTTTCACTGTGGACTCTTGTCTGGTTTGGAGTCGATTCTTAGCTAGCTCCTCTGTAACATCCCGTAAAATGGACGTTTAAAATGGAACCCACAGCCCTCTTGTCCCCACAGGCTTGTCTTGAATCCCTTTGACTCTGTCCTTTCCACCTCTGGGCCCCTTCCACCTCTTCAGACTAGTTTTAGCTCCAAATTCCATCCGTCCTTTGGATTGTCCTTGAGTCTAGTGAAAAATTTATTTACTCTAACTTTTGTTATTTTGAAATCTGGCTGTTCAGAGAACTACTGATCATAGAACTTGAGGGGAAAAAATGCAGTCTGCACATTTTTCTCAAGTGGAAGATTTTCACCATCCCAACACGTTTCACTATGATTTAAAGTGTGAGAATTTTGATTTTCTTCGGGGATTAATCTCTTATTGTCCCCTGTGTTTTTAAGAAGGAAAGGCTATTTACTGCTGTCATGATTAGAGAAAATAAATGAAAGCTTTCACACGCCCCACTGTAAGGCTAACATTTGTTTAGCCAAGTACTGGTACTCTAATACCTTTTAAAGTAAAATATTTTACAGTTAGATGCCAGACATCTTAAGTATCCAAGTAATTTATTTAATTGTTATACTCTAATTAGCAGGAACAAATGCTACACATGTTGTTTGTGTTAAATAGATTAGAGTGAAATTGCATCACAATGTGAGTCTGCCACCTTAAAGAGAAGCAATTAGTTTTATGGTTGTTTTGTTTTTAATGCATTTAAAATAAAGTGGCCGGGGTTAATTTAATGAGTGTATGTGCCTTAAACTTGTTAGTCACCCACAGCTTAGACTTTGCTTCAAAGGGCATCCTTAACTTCTGTGCCTGACTCCCATTGGTTTTCATTTTTCTTACATGCATCATATTTAAAAAGTACTGCTGGTAAATATTCCAAGGAAGTTCCTTGTTTTCATGCATTAGCCAGTGTATGAACAATGAAAGTGATTATTATTTTTTTGGAAAGGCACATTGAACAGAGTCCTGGCTGAGCCCGGAAAGGTAACATTTTTCTCAAGATTTAGCAAAAAATTGGCAGAATAGTAGCCATTTCATTTCTAGTGGCATTTTAAATTTGATAACAGGAAACACAAAACCCAGTTTTTTTTAACATCTCTGAATCTATTAGTTTTCCTTCTGTATGGCAGGTGTCTTGGCAGTGACCAAGGTCCGACAATGTGCTTTGTAAATGGGTTATAAATGATACCAATTGAAGGGCGTGTCTATCAATTAGTTCTCCCGTGGGCTTCTTATTTATGGTTTTGCTGGATCTAGTTAGTTCTCAGACATAGAATGTTGAACCCAAGTTTGTTTAGCTAGCAGTACAGGACCAATCACGGTGAATTTGAACTTGTAATACATTGCAAAATAAGAGATTTATGGTGTAACTTGAATTCCTTGTCAGTGATGAATATAACTGAGATCGCTTGTTACAAGGAACTTTTATAACCTGCTCACCTTCATTTCACATGTTTATGGGGACTGGCTTCACTTATGATCTGCAGTTGACAGTCATAAAGTTCTTTGTTATAATGGCAAATCCTGATAACAAGTTTGCCTCACATTGGCTCCAAATTCCACTGCAAACTATCATAAATGGCCTGTTTATAAAATGAACTTTCCTGTCCCTAATTTACTTATTTCATATTTATGAAGAGAAAGGAGTGCTCTTCTGGGAAATTATTCTCTTTTAAGGATAAAGAAAAAAAAAGAAGCCCTGATGTGTAAGATTTCATGTTTTCATCATTTTAACAAAGCAAATTCCCAAGTACTTCTATCAGCCAAACATACTCGTTTCCACCAAAAGTCAAAGTGATTCTTTCTTAGCACCGACTTCTTAAAAACGTGGCAGTGCTAAGAAGCTTCCCAGTGTCTCTTTGGTTTTACAACTTGTCTGTAAAGAGTGCTGTAGCAATAACGACCTGAGTTGTAAAAACAAAATTCAATTTTTAGCTTTGACTTTGCCAACAAAGATTTTGAAAATCTCTGTCTTTTAATCTGAATAGTTAGTACATGCTCAATCTGTGTTTTTGTTGTGTATTCTTTATAACTTCTTTTCTTAAATTAATCATCATGGCCAACTTCCCTAATTCTATATCTTTCAACTTGTTTTGGTCTCTGGATTTTCCGCATAGGTTTTTTTTTTTTTTAAACTGAGGTCATAGCAGATTTTTTTAGTTGCCTATCTAGGTAACTGTGAAAAGCAAATTTAGATTTTTGTCATTCTAGGTAGGAACTTAGACTAGCTTAAAAAGTCCCTCTTTATAATTCACACATAACAGTTCAGAGGAGATAAACTCCACATAAGGATGTTATGGGTATAAAGGAAACATAAAAATCAGAGTGACAGATAGTTGACCTTTTCTGATAAATTTAACCCTTTGTACTGAGAAGGAAAAGGCAACCCACTCTAGTATTCTTGCCTAGAGAATCCCAAGGACAGAGGAGCCTGGCAGGCTTCCGTCCATGGGGTTGCAAGAGGTTGAGATGATTTATCGACTAAACCACTGCCACCACGTGAGGAAAAGTACTATACTGACAGGGTAAATCAAATATAACAGCGTCACCAAGAGAAGGCCAGCACTAACACAGTGTTGTAGAATTTGGTCATCCTTTGGAGAATGGATAATACAGAAAATTCAGGCAATAGGCGATCGCGATGATCATTAATGAGGTGTATTAAAATATATTTCTTTACAAAATTTTTGTGCATCTTCCAAAATTCATTTATATTATATATAGGCTTTTCTACAGTTTCTGGTTTATTCCTCTGCACATATCTGAGAAATAGACCTGGTTATCTCAGTTTTCAGATGAGGCAGAGACTCCCCAAAGCCACTTAACACATTGCCAGGCAGTTTGTGACTGCATTTCTTCACTGAGACCTCTGACAATAACAGTGAGCGCAGGCATTAGCTAGTATTGTGACTGCTCTAATCTATGCTAATGAGCTGGGGCAGATCAATTGATCTGTATTAGATGGAGCACACTTTGGTCCAGGAAGGTCAACCTAATTACAGGTCAAGGGTTTTTTTTTTTTTTTTGCCTCAAGGGGGACTGCTTATTTATAATAAGCAGGTACATGCTTGTTGCTGGCAGGGACATGACACATGGACGTGTGTAGCGTATACGTGAAAAGCACTTATGTCTGTCCACCCTCTTGTGCTGCTTTCTAGCCTTCCTCCCGTCGGCTTGGATTGTCCTGTGCCAACTGTCACACCACGACCACCACTTTGTGGCGCAGAAACGCCGAGGGCGAGCCTGTGTGCAATGCGTGTGGACTCTACATGAAGCTCCATGGGGTGCGCCACCTTCTCCACTTCTGTGTATACACCTTCAGTGTCTTCTTTGTACTTAGTTTCAGTTTAAAAAAATCAGCAAAGGAGCGGGCATGGGGTGAAAGATCTGATTTTTGTATATGCATGTTTGTGAATCTAGGGGCCTGTTAATTGTCCTAGGAACTATTATCATACTGGTAAGAAACAAAAAATGCTGCCAGTTAAACTCACACACATCCATAGTCAGACATCCAGATTGTAGAAATACCAAAATATGGAAATATGTACTTTTAGAACTGATACAATGGTAGTAATCTTTTTTAAAACTGTAAAATTGAAGTCTAGTTGATTTATAATGTTGTGTTTCAGATGTACAGCACAGTGATTCAGTGATCCCCTATGTGAATGTGTATATTCTTTTTCAGATTCTTTTCCCTCCTAAGTTATTACAGAATGTTAAGTATAGTTCCCTGTACAGGAGGTCTTTGTTGGTTATCTATTTTGTATATAGTAGTGTGTATTTTAAAGACCTGTACACTTAAAAAGAAAAAAGCACGGAACCTACTAGAAATGCACATTAACTAGTTTATAGCTTAAAAATGTGAATGCACTCAAACACATCTATACAGAAGAGTCATAACATTGGGTATCTCTAGTTAAAAAGATTTTGCATTTTAAGCATAGCGCAAGATATTATAAAATATGCCAATTTTAAAAAGAAAAATAACCTTGGTATATGTAGAAAGAAGAATGCATGATCTCTTTGAAATAAAAATATGTAATTCAGTGGTTTCACTCTGTAATTGAAGTTGTTTAAAACAATAAATATTAAGTTGAGGGAAGAGATTCTACTTGGCAAATCACCCCATTTTTTTTTTTTCGTGGAGGAATCTTTGCATTTGATGGGGGAAAGTGTAGTCTTTGTGCAGTTGGAATCTATGAAGTGTGTATAAAAATTGGATTGAAATTTATGCCAAGTTCTTTTAAATGGGGGCTTTCAGTACTGACGTTCGGGCTTTAGTTAGTTTGGTTTTTCTGCAGTATAATATTTATTAAACTTATGGCCTATATGAAAAAATTTTTAGGTGCCTCGACCGCTTGCTATGAAAAAAGAGGGAATTCAAACCAGGAAACGAAAACCTAAGAACATAAATAAGTCAAAAGCTTGCTCTGGTAAATATAAGAAAATGCTGTTTGACTGTAAAATATTTGCCAACCTTAGTAGAGTATATGTGTATTTATGAGGTTAATTTTGACCGTTGCAGGTAATAGCAATAATTCTGTTCCCATGACTCCAACTTCCACCTCTTCTAACGCAGATGACTGCAGCAAAAATACTTCCCCCACCACACAACCGGCAGCCTCAGGGGTAAGTGTTAAAACAGCATAGACTATTTCTGAGCTAGTGAGTTGCTCTCCTGTATATTATCTCCAATTTTATCTTATCTGGTAGTACAATAATCTAAACCAACAGTTCAGTTTAGTTAGCTGATACCTAAGAATAGTTTTTAGAGGAAATTACATTTAAATGTCAACAAAATGACAAACTTAAGTACTTTACAAACCTCTTAATTAAGATCTATATCATTTTTTTATGGTTGAATTAACCTAAGTAAAAGCAAGGAGTTTGGGTTTGAAGTGCTTTAAATTGTTTTATTTCCAGGTTTTTATCTGAGTTTATATATGTGTGTGTGTGTATACGTACACATGTATGTATATCAATATATTTCTAGTGTAGATCAGGAAAAGTACCAGCTCCATGGTTTTTGTGTATCCCAGTGCCCATGACATTTAAATTGCTTTTGCTTATCTTATCAACGTCTTCCCTGGTGGCTCAGTGGTAAAGAATCTGCCTGCCAATAGACGCAGGAGGTACAGGTTCGATCCCTGGATTGGGAATATCCCCTGGAGAAGAAAATGGCAACCCACTCCATTATTCCTGGAAAATCCCAAGGACGGAGAAATCTGGCGGGCAATCCATGGGGTTGCAAAAGAGTCAGCCGAGCAACTAAACAGCAGCAAATCTTATTGACTCCAGCTTTCTCTGTTCTCCTCTTCTCTTCCTTCTTTCCTTTTTTCTCTTTTTTTGGAAATCATCTACCCAAAGTAAAACGTCATCACCATGAGTCACGTGCTGCTGTATTCATTGATCTTCGCCTAACTGTTGGTCCTCTGCTGGGCTGGGCAGCCTTGCTTTCTTCTAATGTTCCTTGATTGTACCCAGGCTTATTTCTGCCTTGTGATCAGCCTGTGAGCAATTGGGTTTGTGAGAGATTCACACCCCTACGAGGATGCCTGGGTTTTGGAGCAGATCACCGTGTTACTTTCAGTGAAGCCATGATTGAAACTCAGTTTTTCTCAAGTGAAGAGCACTTTCCCACCCTAGGGTTTCCCAAATTTACCTGGAATGCCCTTTAAAAATGACCCAGCCGCACCCTGGCCCTCAGAGATGCCGGCTGGCCCCCGGGGCGGCCGGTTTTCTCAGAGTGTCCCGGGTGAGGATTACACTGAGACTAGTTTAGGATGAAACATTAGCATTAAAATCCCTATTTAGTAATTCTTTTCTCCATTGAATTTTGCTTTATTTGGGATACTTTGAAATACTACAGATTCCTGGGCTCCACCCTGGATTTTCTGAGTCAGCGGTCTCTAGGGGTGGGGCTTGGAAATTTGTGTTTTTGAACAATCACCGCAGGTGAAATTGAAACTACTGCCCTCAGGTGTCTTTGAATTGGGAACCTTGGAGCTGGTATTTTTGCTGCCTTAAACTAACAAAAATTAAACATTAAAAAATCTTTTTAAAAACTGCTTTAAAGTATATTTGATATTTTCTTTATCCTCCAATTCAAGCTCTTTTGGGGAGGGGTTTCTTTAATACAAGAAAGTTTAGAGTTTCAAAATGGAAAAAGCTTTTTTGCTGTTTTTATTTGTTGCAGACACATGTTCTTAAAGAACATTCTTGCGTTTATAACCTTCATAAAGGTGAATGCTGGTGAAGGACTTTTTTTTAAATTTTTTTTTTTTTAACAGGAGGCTAACATGTAACTTAAAGGGTCTTAGTTGGTAAATAGAAGTTACTTGTAACGAAATGAAAAGATCAATATTATTTTAAAATTTCCTTTATGAAGCCCTGAGTCCTCAGAAGCAATTATGTAGCTTGAAAGTGTGCTAGTCACTTGAGTTGTGTCCTACTCTCTGACCCCATAGTCTGTAGTCTGCCAGGCTCCTCTGCCCATTCTATTTCCCGGGCAAGAATACTGGAGTGGGTATCCCGTTCTCCAGGGGATCTTCCTGACCCAGGGATCAAACCCAGGTCTCCTGCATTGCAGGCAGATTCTTTACCATCTGAACTGCCACGGAAGCCAATTATGGGGCTTATGTGAGGCAAAACAGTGTTCTGATTTTCCAAATCATTGAGGGACCAGCTACCATTTCAGCCTCAGTGGTCCATCTCTACTGGCTGAAAAATGGGTTGCTGCCTGCTCCAGCTCACTTTTGGCAGTGCTATAGTCTAAGCTTAGTGAGGCAAAAGCTAAATTTGAATGATGAATGGCACAGAAATAGAGATATTTGCCCAACAATGGGCTTTAGAAACTTGGTGGGTGGAATCTGTTTTGCTCTCTTGGTTCTGTGATGTAAAAATTCAAAATTGATTATTTGCAAGTCCGATCAATTTTGCCCTCCAGGGGAGGAACAGTGCAAAGGTGGTGATGGGATCTAGTCTGGGCATGTCTGGAAGTGGGACCTTGGGAATCCGGAGGCTGGTCCTAAGGCAGCCTTGGTATCTCGGCACCTGTCTCACTTGGGAGCCCGCTTCCTGGGGGTGGCTGGCCGGCCGGTGCCGTCGGAGGAAGGCTGTTTTCCACTAGCAGCCAGGAGGCAAAGCAATTTTAGTATTTAAAAAAAAAAAGTACTTTAGAGATTGGGGGAGTTGGAGAGCAGTTCCCTACAAGGTCCCCATTGCTCTCGGGGCCCGGGCACCTTCCATGGGAGATAGCCATGCGAGCCGCAGATGGGCAGTTCTCTGAGCCCAGGTGGCCTCAGAAATGCGTCCTGATAGCTCTTCCCAGAGCTGGGGGCGCGGGGCGGAGCGGGGGTGGGGGGTGGCCTGGGGTGGGCGGCGGCCCAGTGGCGGAGAGGACGGCCCATCATGCCCTCCTCCCTCCATGCACCCGCCCCTCCCTGGCCAGGGCTGGCACCTGGGCTCCTGGGTGTTCCCCAACGGCCAGCCCATCACGGAGTCCTCGCTGCCCTCTTGACAGGGCCGCTGGGGGAAGCAGGCTTATTTGGCAGAAGCCAACCTGCTGGCCGCCTTATGGAATCTGCCCCCTCCAAGGATAATTGACGCCGACTCCGTGGTGTCCCCATGAGCGCCAGGGTGTGTCTTTGTTGGTCCCTTGACACTTTTCAGACCCTCCTGGGCTGACTGGTTCTGCGTGCGCGTGGCTACTGTGGCAGTGGGGGTGCCATGCAGAGTCTGCTGGAGGTGTTATCTGTGGGCAGCTGGCAGAAGCATTTGTGAAAGGCGGCTGTGTTGACGAAGATGTGACATGTTCCCACTTAGGTCTCAGCTTATGATGTTGGAGGACAGCTGTCGTTGTGACCAACTGCTTATAGGATTTTGTGAGTGCTGCAGGTAAAGGGGATGTTGCTATATCCCCGTAGCAAAGGTGTATCTGGTCTGTAGCACAGGGTTCCTTCTTTGGCTTGACCCTTAAACCTCCTGTGGTGACGGGTCCGCGCTGTGGATCTCCAGCGGCTCCTGTGACTGGCGGGGTGGAAATTAGTCCTGCAGGGAAGTCCTAGTTTAATAGGGACAGCCGAGCTCCAGAACAAAGGGTGATCACAGGAACATTCCCAGTGGAACAAGGAAACGGGCCATGTGCTCTACTTAGAGACGTCAGTGGCTGCATACCTTTCTCCTCTAGCCTTCCTTTAAGACCGTGAGTTAAAGCAGAGAAGTCTTTGAGAAGAGACCTATCAGACTGGCTGTGTTAATTCCCGTCTGAGGAATCAGCTGCTGGAGATTAGCAGCAGGCAGTCCTAGAGGATTTTCTTTACTTTCTGAGGTCTCCGCCTGTGGGCGCATTCAGCAGTGGTCCTCTCAGGACCTGGAACCTGAGCAGATCTGGCTGGAGCGGAGTATTGGGGCGGGGGGGGGGGGGGGTGAAGACAGGAGAATCATTTTTGCACCGCTCTGAAGCTTCATGCTGTTGACTTTTTGGCATGTCTTAGCTTTATGTTGCTCCTTTGTGTTTTACACTTGATCTTAGCCAAAAGGCTGAGAAGCAGTGTTCCTTTGTGTTTTAACTTTACTCTGTCTCATTCCTTCTCATGGTCATCAGCTCGCCGACCTGGATCCCTTAGAACTCAGTTTCTGTGTTGCAAGCTGTGCCTGTGTGTTGTGGTGTGGTGTGGTTTGGGAGGTGGAGGGAGGGCAGTTTGTCTCCTTTATGAAAACAGGAAAACCTGTTGCTGCTGCCGCGCAGCCTGATAGTAAAATAACCCCTGTCTTGTTCCTTTTAGAATTTTTAAAAAATGATTGCAATAAATGATTTATTTGCTTTCATTTATATAACACTTATTATTCACTAGACCGTACTATCTTTCATTTTTATTTTCCTTATTTTTTTTCTGTGTTGATCAGAATTTTAGAATCAGTTTCTTGTATGGAATTCTTTGGGTTAAGAAATGTGTTGAACTTAATTTTTGATACGTTGATTAATTTTGTGACTTTGGAACTTAAATTTCCCCAGAATAGTTCTTTTATTCAGTGTAAAATCTTCTTATACCTGTAAATTTACTGAAAAATTTGAGTCTTTAGTGGACCTGAATAGACATCAGATTTTCTTTGCCATTTGTGTTCTCTGAATTGTAAGAATATTTAAATCTTTCACTGAATTCCATTTCTTGACTGAGTTATATTTTTATGGTACTTGTTATTATTATTGGATAAATATGATAACATTTTATTTTAGCAATTCCCAAATAAGATTTAACAAGTAGCCTCTGTAGATTCCTATCCCTCTTAGGACTTGTAACTAAAAATTTATAAAACTGGAGGATACTTTGGGTATGTACACACATACATAAAGTGTGTGTATATATATATTCTACATATGCGTGTACCATATGTTTATAACTCATCCCCCAATTTTTAGATAAAGGGTATTTCTCTTAATTTTCTTTGGGATAGGGAGGATTACTTTGGTGAGAAAATGAACAATAAGACAATGTCTGAGAATAAGAAATCACTGGACCTATTTTGCCCGCCTGAAAGTAGTTCTGTTGAGGATTATTTTAAAAAGTTAAAGCCTACTTAAATTTATATTAATACTGCAAATACAATGTTGACGTCCTCATTGAATA